GCAGCACCTTCACCAGCCAGGGGTTGAGTAGAAAGTAAACGGCGGTATTGTATGTATGTATGTACATATGTAACGTGTAAATAATGTAAACATGGATTGACAACGGTTTAACTGATGTTCTGAAGGCATATACGTGTAGAAGGGAGGGGTTGAGGGGGGGTCGTGGTGTACTTTGGGGGCTCCGTGGTGTCATGAGGGCGTGGGGGCTCCGTGGGTCACTTTGGTAAAAAATGTCGCATTTCACCCAATCACCAAAAACTCATCGGATATCGACGATTCTCGACGCCGCGGTCACGCCCAAAGTTGTTTCACTTCCCAAATCGTTTTTTTTCGAAAGATATCGCGAAAAACAAGATTGTGAATATTTGCCCGAACGGACCATATAACGAGAAAAAGGATTCCAAGAGCCCGACGAGGTACACCTAGAAATCCCTGCAGCACCGTATGCGTGCCCAAACACTGAACTGCACGTCCGTCCCACCGTTCGATTACAGTAGCATCACCCCCTCCCTGTCCCACTCTATACCAAAACGGAAGATTGCCGACTACAGCATAATGCTGTCTGTACAAAAACACCATGGTAGGCATGGAACAACCAGCTGGCGGGGCACAAAGCTGCTGTCTGAAGTGCTGTCAGAACGTGTCTGCGGCCGTACAGTGAAAAAGAACAACCAACCAAAGCCATCATAGCAGTATTTGACAATTACCCGAATCTCTGCCGATCGTCTGTGTTAGGCACTGCAGTGAAAAATATCGACGCTAGCTAAGAATCGTTCCACATTGAAGGGGTCTTCCACGATCAGGCACAAAACCAATGCACCCGGGTTAGCCACGCCATCTCTGACGGGTCTCTCTACAAAACCGGTGACGACGTCATCACACAAAACCAACACGGAAAGTAAGAAAAAAAACGGAAAAAAATGACAACACGGATAGAAATGTTTTGTCCGTGCGCCACGGGTCGATGTCGCCCGCATGCTCCGGCGCCACTGCTCCATCCGGCGCCGCTGTAGTCAGCCCGAGCAAAACGCCACTCGACCTGCTCCGTTCGTACACGCTCTCGTTGCTGTCCTTCCCAGTCGGTTCCTCGCTTTCTCCCTCGTTGCACTCAAGGTTCTTGGTCTGAAAAATAAAAATTCTCGCGCCGTAAGGGTCAACCAGCCCAGTTCAGCTCGTCGCCACCTGCTCCCTCCTCCTTTGATGGCGAAGCCAGTTACTGGGGCAATATAGCTCCCTCTAGCAAACCTAGGGCCGTGTAGTGCCCGTCCACCTTTCTGATGGTGTCTGCCTCCGCGCACAAAAATGAGATGGGCATCACTGCCTACGCCGACGGCCAGAAAGGCCCGCGCATCTACATTTTCCCGCCTGACCCCATCAGTGCCGACCCAACTCCACCACCACACGCACGCCTCGCGGCGGATGCGCAACAGCAACAAGGTTTCGGTCATCCCTTGAGGGTGAGTCTCGCCTTACTCGCCAGAAAGACCCCCCCCTTCACTACAACCCATGTCTAAGCAAAGCTTGTCGAGGAGCGAGGGGAAGAAGGGTATAGTGCCGGTAGAATCTCTGGACACAGAAAGCGCCCTCAATAGTGCCGGTTCGGCACTATTGAGAGCGGACCCTCTAAAGTGCCGATTGGGCACCACGGCGCCCCGCAATAGTGCCGGTTTACACACACACGCCAGCTGACATACACACCGGTCGCCCCGGTGGTTTAGTGGGTAGCCTCGCAGCCGGCTAAGGGCCAGTTCATGGGTTCGAGTCCCGGCAGAGAGTTTTTTTCTCACTAAATAAAACCTGGTCTAGGATGAAAGCGACGNCGCCTTACTCGCCAGAAAGACCCCCCCCTTCACTACAACCCATGTCTAAGCAAAGCCTTGTCGAGGAGCGAGGGGAAGAAGGGTATAGTGCCGGTAGAATCTCTGGACACAGAAAGCGCCCTCAATAGTGCCGGTTCGGCACTATTGAGAGCGGACCCTCTAAAGTGCCGATTGGGCACCACGGCGCCCCGCAATAGTGCCGGTTTACACACACACGCCAGCTGACATACACACCGGTCGCCCCGGTGGTTTAGTGGGTAGCCTCGCAGCCGGCTAAGGGCCAGTTCATGGGTTCGAGTCCCGGCAGAGAGTTTTTTTCTCACTAAATAAAACCTGGTCTAGGATGAAAGCGACGCGCTGCAAAGCTCGTTTGTTAGTAAACCATAATCGACTTCGTAAGTCGCGTGGGAAGGGATTGCTGTACCCTTCTCGCGATAAAAATACCTCAGGCATGAACCGCAGGAGGGGGGTCCAACTCCCCCCTCCGATGTGACCCCGGTTGGGTCGTCTAGCTACAAGTAGGTGGAGGATAGGGGCCAGAGGGGCAGACGACAGAGTCCAACGGGAGAAAAACAACAAAAAACAACACACACACAAGACAGCGGACACACGCAACACAGAGGGTACACGTGCTGCTGCAGACCCGAAGAGTTCTACGCAAAGGCGCACCATGCCTTTTGCGGAAGGTGAACTGTGCCTTCAACAAGACAGGACGCCGCAACCCCCTCATGGCCACCCCTACCCTGCAAGGGAGGATGTGGCGGGCGGCTCCACGGCAATTGCGGCTTTTTTTTTTTTTTTTAGCGTGTTTGAGGACAACGAGCAGCACGGCATCTGCAGCACGTGTGTCGCCAGGACTAGCCTTCCTTGGATGTGGTAGCCGTCTCTCAGGCTCCCTCTCCGGCATCGAACCCCAATTCCCCGTTACCCGTTAAAGCCATGGTAGGCCAATACCCTACCATCCAGAGCTGATAGGGCAGAAACTTGAATGAAACGTCGCCGCCGAAGCGTGCGATCCGCAAGTGATTATGATCCACCACAAGACCGTCCGAAGACGCATCAAAGCGACACCAGCTAAGGGTGCTGGGGCGGGACCATCTAAACGCCAGAAGCAGACGAGCGGGGGAAGCAAGAAGGGAACGGGTTCTCGTGCGCGGCTGGACAACAACAAGAAGCTCGAGTTTCTGAAGATGCTGGATCAGAAGGTGTCTCACGCACAGATTGCAGACCGCTTCAAGTGCTCGCTTCGGTTTATTGGGACCGTGAAGGCTGGCCGGCAGAAGGTGGAGACAGCAACTGCTGCAGGCTGCGGCAGCCAGAAAACTGCACGAAAAGAAGATTTTCCGGAGGTGCGCTACATGCAATGCTGTGACGTTGGGTTATTTCCCCCGCCATTGTTTTTGCCGGCCTTTTTTTTTTCGAGCCTGGTTCGTTCGCTGCTGGATGTCCAATTTTTTTTTCGTCTTTCTTTCTCCTTTGGTTTGTTGTCTTTTTTCGACTTTGTTCTTTCAATTTTTTTGTCTCTCGTTTTTCTTCTTTCTCCGCTTTCATCGTCATTCGTTCCTTGTGCTCTCGCACACACCCTCTTTTCATTTTTAAACCAGCAAATTACTACAACACGGCAGCGCGTCTTGTTTGTATCTGCAGCATTTTTGTCCAAGTGTACTTCACAGTAGTGAACAATGGGAACAATACTCGAACGTGTGAGCTTAGTGTAACAGGGTACGCTTCGTCCGCCTGCCCGCGCCGCGCAGTGTAGGTTAGCATGCTTACGTTCGAAACTAATCGTTCGACCTTTTGCACTCTCTGCATTGTTTACTCGTTTTTTGGCGGCAGGTGGATGAGATAGCTCTTGATCTACTCGACAAAGCCCGCAAGGCCAAGATGCCAGTATGTCCTTCGAAGCTTCGGCCGTTCTGCCAGGGCAACCCTGCTGGCTGACACCGCAACTTCTGCAGCAGTGAGGGAGAGGGTGGAGGACTTCAAGGCCGGCCAGAGGTGGGCGAAGAACTTCGTGAAGCGCAACAAGATCCAGAGCGTGAGACTTCATGGCGAGGCTGGTAGCGTCGACAAGGAGGCCATCAAGGAGGGCATGGGGGAAATCAGGGCCCTTTGCGAGAAGTACCCGGCTAGGTTCATCTTCAACGTCGACGAGACAGGCCTCCAGTGGAAGCTCATGCCCAAGCGCACGTACCTTTCCACCTCGGAGAATCGGAAGACGGCGCGGGGCTCAAAGAGCATGCACTTGAAGGACCGACTTGCTGCCATCATGTGCTGCAATGCCGACGGCACTGCGAAGGTTGACATGGCCATCATCGGGAGGGCTAAGGAACCCCGCTGCTTCAAGAACGGGGGTTCACCTCTCCAAGTACTACTCGCAGACAACGCGGGGTCCGACTCCGCGACGTTCCTCAAGTGGTGGCTTGAAGTCTTCCTCCCGTTCGTTCGGCGCTTCACTCACGAACCTGTGCTGCTGCTGATGGACGGCTGTTCGTCTCACAGTGATCTAGTGGATGATCGCGGGCAAGTTACCGTCAAGACCTACCCTCCGCTGTGCACCGCCGTACACCAACCCATGGATTTGGGGGTCATCGCCAAGACGAAGGTCAACTACAGGAAGGAGCTGCTCGATGTGAAGACATCAACCATGTTGGTGGCTGACACACTTCGCGCCCAGGCCAAAGCCCGCAAGATGAAGGCCGGGACAATGGGGCTAGCGCAAGGGCACCAACCTCACGTGCGGGACGCCGCTGAACTTCTCCAGAAAGCATGGGCCAGCGTCACCGCCCAAGACATCGCCAGGTGAGGTTTGAACATGTGATATCGCTGTTTTAAATGTGTAGCTCGCGCAAGTGCGCATGGCTTTGGTGATACGTTAGGTGGGTAAGGTTGTACGCATAGGTTATATTTTTCGACTGAATATTCCGGCAACCGCAAATCTCCTTGATTCTTTGCAAAAAAAAGGGCCTCTATCGCATCCCTATGAGTCATTGTCACTGGGTTCGTCTAACATCGCTTCTCCACCCAAACACGGATGCATCACAATTTCTGCGCTACCTGGCCAGGTGCTTTGTCAAAGCCGAGACGCTTCCGGAGGAGATGGCAGCTGAGCTCACCAAGCAACACAGAAATACCCGGTTCAACGTCGCCGAGCCTGACCTGAAGGTTCTCGCAGAGACTGTCAACACGGTGAGCACGAGCGTGCAGGACGCGCAGAAGCAGGGATCCCGCGTCGTGGACGAGGAGATCAGCGAACTGTTGGCAGAACTCAACATCGAACCCGGAAAGCCGGTCGCGGGGGAAGCGGTGGCCGCGATTCAGGGCTGGGCTACCATCGAGGACGAGGAGGAGGTGGTAGAGGCTCTTCGATTGGACGCGGTGGAAGACATGACAGCGCTGCTGGCTGGAACGAACTTGTCTACCGGCGGCGACGACGAGGAGGAAGGACAGGACCAGGGCGGCGGCGGTGAGAACATGGGGCGCGAGCGCCGTGCCCCACGTGCACCACCGGGTTATGAAGAACTGTCGCTGCACTTCGGCGCCCTGGCAGTGGCAGCAGAGGACAGTGGCAACGGAGACGCGGCGTTCTACCCAACGAAAGCGAAGATGTCGATGATCGCAGCGCATTCCGCTAGGCGGGTGCGCCAGACAGACATTAGAGGATTTGTCGCGACGTAGAGTTCATGGTTGTTTCTTTTTCTTGCAATTCGCTTCCTGTCGTGTACTTGTAGCTTTTATTTTTGTTTATTGGAACATCGAAGCGGGTACGCCAGGCAGACACTCCAGTGTCTGCGACGTAGTTTGGGGGGGAGATACAACTGTAGTGCAGTAGTATTGATTTTTGGTTTCTTGCAGTGCGCTTCCTGTCGTGTTTCTCTTTCTGTTTTGTCTTTTGTATCTTGCAACATCGAAGGAGGGGCTCTAGGGNAATTCGCTTCCTGTCGTGTACTTGTAGCTTTTATTTTTGTTTATTGGAACATCGAAGCGGGTACGCCAGGCAGACACTCCAGTGTCTGCGACGTAGTTTGGGGGGGAGATACAACTGTAGTGCAGTAGTATTGATTTTTGGTTTCTTGCAGTGCGCTTCCTGTCGTGTTTCTCTTTCTGTTTTGTCTTTTGTATCTTGCAACATCGAAGGAGGGGCTCTAGGGCTGAGATATAGCTACGTACACTCTGTACGAACGGGAGCTTTACAAGCATCTTGCCGTAAACAGCAGTTTCGACAGTTCAGGGTGTGCAGTACAGTTCATGTGCTGAGGCAGGCAGAAAATAACGGTGCAACATGCAAGTAAATATTTTTTACAACTCGCCCTCTGTGTGCGCGACAGGGGGGAACCATGCTTGTCGCGAGAAAGGATGCTTAAGCCCACGATAGACCTTCACTAAGTTTGATCCATTTCGTACTCTGTTAGCCCCGCAACGCACGAGCGCCACAGCATGAAATCAAACATCTCCTCAATAGTGCCGATTCGGCACTACTGAGGTAGATATTCGAAACCTCAATAGTGCCGAATCGGCACTATTGAGGCACTATTCTGATTAGTGCCGGTGCCCTCAATAGTGCCGATATTATCTCTGGGCACATACCGGCACTATAGCGGGCCCAGTACTGTACCAGGTTTTCATATTCGGCAATGCTGGTTCCTGACGTGGGTAGGTGCACCTGTTCCTACCTTGTTGGATAGCTGTAGCCCATTCATACCTACACGATGCAAGTGGCTTGGAGGCCGATTGGAGCGCTGTGGGCGGAGATCTGCCTGGCGGAGGTAAATATGAAGATGTTCCAGGGGTGCAGCAAATCGCTCTTACGTTTTATTCGAAATTGATTGAGCAAACACCATCACCACCGCCATCAACAACAACACCTAGTAGTACGCATTTCACGAACACAAAGAAAGCTAGGCAACTTCAAGGACGAGAATACGGCAACAACAACCACAATTTAACTGTTTCCAGGAAATTTCTCGTTCTCACCTGGACACGGCGTACGCCGCGAGGCTTCGGAGATCTCCTCCGATTGGCCCAACACCGAAGTCGCAGAAAGGCACGTTGAACAGGTTGGGGACAAGCACCGACATGGTCTCGAAGGCAGGTGGCCAGATGTACGAGTAGCGACAGTGGCGAGGGGTTACTCCTGCGGCCGCGGGCGTCATTGGGCAATGACATCACGATCGGTTGCCAAGGAAAAGAAAGGGAGAAATTAAATGATGCCATCATGAGTTTTTATTTTTTGGAGATTCGTCATACGATCACGGAAAAACTACCCGTTCGAGAGTCGTTTCTTTTGGTTCGGCAAGGAAAAAAAAAGCAACAAGAACTTCTGCTGACGCTATGGATTCATCGCTTCCGCTGACCTTACGGATTAATTGCTAATGTATCTTGTGGACTCTTTTCTAAAGATATAGAGATGGATTCGTTGTGTCCTCTCAAGAAAAACAACAAATCACTCGAGAGGCATCGCTTGTTTGTGTGAAAAGACATCCAAGAGAGAGAGAAGCGTTCGGCTAGGAAAGAAGAAAGGAGAAACAAAAGGCAAGGGAAAGCGGTGCCTTAATAAACCAAGCCTGACAGAATGGACGGTGTCGTGTCGTCAGCAGTGGCACGAGAGAGAGCTTTGCTAATCTACCGTGGAGGCGGAGATATTGCACCCCCCCTAGACCGGTTTTCAAAGCTTGATTGTTGTTGTTATTGTCTTCACATTAAAAACCGTTCCGATCTCTCTCCACCCAGTACCTTCGTATGTCCGTACTGATCCAACACTCGACGCGGTCGATTGCCGTGGTCGCACCCTAACTTACCCTAAAAAGGTACACTCAAATAAACTGGCCGCGGGGGTCCGTAAGTCAATAGAAATCAACAACAGATATTCTGGAGTCCTCCACTCCCTCTGCGCGCTATGCGAGGCAACAACGAGACTAGGGGTCACCATCACGGGCCGGAGAGAATGAGGTACACCCCCTTGGTTCAATCTTGGTACTTCACAACGCAAGCAGAGACAACGCCATTTGGCACATAATTCGAGAGAAAAAGAGAAAAAGAGAAGGAAATGAAAGGAAACAGTAAAGAAAGAGAAAATGAAATAATCGATTGTATCACGACCAAGATTCTCTGTACCGTACCGTAGTGCGGTTTTTCCGTAAGATGCCCCCCCACTAGACCGGCTTTCAAAGCCTTGCGACTGCTCGGGAACAAATTGGGTGCTGAAAGACTCCGATACGTGTGCGGAAAGCCCTAGACGACATGCTTCCGACACCACCATTATTTTTGGTGCCGACAGAAGCTTGGTTGTCAAGCAATGGAGCTTTGAAAAGCGGTCGATGGGGGGAGACATCTCTCCTCCCCGCCTCTTGGGGTACTTGCGCATGAAATCTGGCAACGAACGAGCAGGGTTTACAGCGCAATAGTCTAACTTAGGACAAACACAGATTGTAGATCCAGGCGCCATCCGTCCTTGGGGTAGCAGTGAAAAAATGAAGCCGCACAGCAGCAGTCCGTCGTGAGTAAACCCTAGCTGACTTCACAGGTGAACCCCTCTCGCGTAACTGAAGGCAACAACGCCGCAGATGAAGGGGGGGTGAGCTCATGTAAACGCATGCCGTAGTCTTTCGATCTATGCCGTAGTCGTTAGACCATTAACGACCTCTCGCACCCATCCTTAAGATGCCGGGAAGGCGCGGAACGCCGGGCTTCCGCCGGCCCAGGCTATACGTTTCGCGAGGATGGACCAAAACAGCTCGTCATCATCATTCTTCCTTGCGTTTGCTGTGCCAAAACCAGATATATACGCCCTATTGATTGGTTGATTGTCCAATCGTTAATGTCGGCACGAGGCAAGGGGGGAAACAAATCTCCAGTGTTGCTTGCTTCCTCCTGGGCAAGCCCGACTGTTGCATCAAACGCACATATATACATAGTGTAGTACAGCTCCCCCAACTTGGCTCGAAGCGGCCCACAGCAAGGCCCTGTGCGGCCTCGAATGTTTGATTGCAACCGGGTCTATCTGTCCGTGTGAGGCGAGTACTGAGTGCCAAGGCGCGTTTGTGTGCTTGTCGAACAAAGTACGCGGAACTCCTGCGGCTTCATCATGTGGGTTTGGATGTAAAAGGCGTAAGATCGGGATTGATTCCGAATCGGAAAAATATTCGTAACAACTGACTTAACACGTGGCGAGGAATAGCCAAGCGGTGATGGCCGAGGCTACTCGGACGAGCTAGTTTCAAGAAAGGATGGAAAGCGAGAGTTTCGTGCCTTCGTGGACATGATCTTTTGCATCAAACGAGGTTCACCTGATTGGTTGCACGGTCACTATACACGGTGAATCTGTCTTGGCAAACAGGCATCTTCGGACCGGTAGAATATTTTCCGATTGTCTCCAGATCGTTATTGCAGGTCGCATATCTGTCATTTTACTTCTCCCTTTGTAGGAAGTTACCGGTTTCGACGCATTTTACGTTTTTTCCTCTATTTGTTCACGGAGGAGACATGCTCGGCGGGGCGTTTATTTCGATTTAATTTCCACGGAGCGGAGCGGTTTTTTTCATGCCACGGAGCGGTTTATCCGTAGTAGTACGGTTTTTTACGGAGTGGTTTTGTTGTCCCCTAGGATAAAAAACCGCGCGAAACCGTGGCCTTGAGGACGGTGCACCGTCAGGAAAATTAATGTCGAAACCGCATGGATATGCGCACAAATCGACGGAGGACGTACCTTCAATTTAGTGAAAAACGCTGGGTTTGGTGCACCAAAAACCGATTTTTCCGCACGGTGTGCGATGGTTTTGGAGGCCGCCTGCAGCGCCGTACGCGTCCTCGCCGGCAGGAGAGCCCAAATAGACCAAAAATATGTCAATTAATCAAATATTTAGAAAGGAACAGTACCCCACATCCACTGCAGCCTTGGTTACACTTTGATGTTAACTGTTTAGGACCAACCGATGTTGAACGCAGCAAGGCTAGGTTGCTCACCCCAACCGACCCTAACCCCAACCCTCACCCACGGCCAACGCACGGCCTAGCCGTCGATAATTGAGCGAGCACGCGGCTGCGCCGCCTGCTCGGAATGCGGAACGGGGAGAGGGTGCTAGAGAGGAATCGGCCATTAGAACCAACGCCAAACAACGCCCGACCAATCAGAAAGCGATAGTCCTAAAGATCTACTATCAATGTGTCAACACGAAGGCAGCACACACTACTGCCACATCGATCTATACCTCGTCGACTCATACATGCCTGCAACACGTACAACATCATAGCAGATAATTCCTCATTTGCCTCTCGTTCAAACTTGCCGGTAAATAGAGATAGCACTTTGGTGACACCAGGGGTCTCACGTATCTACCAAATACCTACTAATTACCCTAGTTCACTGAGTCAGATTCGACCTCGCCAACCGCTCTCCCGCATGAGCGGCTTGGACAGATATTGCATTTTTTGCCTTTCCAACGCAAAATACCGCGACTCCGTGGGAAAACCGTGACTGTGTTGCGGTTTTATCTGTGGTTGTGTGACGGAGTAGCTCAAACCGCTCCGTGAAAAAAAAGCTTGGGCGTTTTTTTTTGGACATGTCACGGAGCGGTTTTTCTTGCGGGAAAACCTTATGGAGCGGAGCCCGCTCCGCTCCGTGGAAGAAACCACTCCGTGAACCAACCCTGTTTTTTTTCAACTCCACACAAATAGTGTTTGACATCGGGGTTGGGTTTGCGTCGCTTGGCAACTACGTTGTGAAACAAGCCAACCCCCCCCGGTCCCCCCAATTCTAGACTAAAGAGGTTGGCGCTGTTGGCAAGGCGCTGTAAAACACGCCACCCCAAATATAGCCCCCCATAGTATGCGTTACCAAAGACGCGTGACGCATGGATGCGTGGAGTGAGGATTGCTTACGGAAACCTCACAGGTTGAGTGATGCAGGAGATTGCCGGACACATAGACGTGTTGAGTGATTATAGCTGTATACTGAAACCCCAAGGGTTGAGTGAGGTTTGAGATTGCCACACATCGACGGGTTGAGTGGGGATGGCTGCATACTGAAACCCCACGGGTTGAGTGATGTTGGAGTGCCGGACACATAGACGCGTTGAGTGAGGAAAGACACATACTGAACCTCACAGGTGATTTGTGATGGAGATTGCCGGACACATAGACGTGTTGAGTGAGGATAACTGCATACTGAAACCTCATAGATGGATTGGCATTTGAGTTTGCCAGACACGTAGACGCGCTGCGTGGGGATTGCTACATACTGAAACCTCACGACTTGAGTGAGGAAAGACACATACTGAAACCTCAAAGGTGATTTGTATTGGAGGTTGCCGGCACCTAGACGTGTTGAGTGAGGATAGCTGCATACTGAAACCTGACAGATGGATTGGTTTTTGAGTTTGCCAGACACATAGACGCGCTGAGCGGGGATAGCTACATACTAACCGCACGAGTTGAGTGATGTTGGATAGTGCCAGACACATAGACGCGCTGAGCGGGGATAGCTACATACTAACCGCACGAGTTGAGTGATGTTGGATAGTGCCAGACACATAGACGCGCTGAGCGGGGATAGCTACATACTAACCGCACGAGTTGAGTGATGTTGGATAGTGCCAGACACATAGACGCGCTGAGCGGGGATAGCTACATACTAACCGCACGAGTTGAGTGATGTTGGATAGTGCCAGACACATAGACGCTTTGAGTGAGGATAGATGCATATTGAGACCTAACGGGTTGAGTGACGTTTGCGACTGCCGGACACATAGACGCATTGAGTGAGGATGGCTGCATACTGAAACCTCACAGGTCGATTTATGTTGGAGATTGCCAGACACATAGACGCGCTGAGCGGGGATAGCTACATACTAACCGCACGAGTTGAGTGATGTTGGATAGTGCCAGACACATAGACGCTTTGAGTGAGGATAGATGCATATTGAGACCTAACGGGTTGAGTGACGTTTGCGACTGCCGGACACATAGACGCATTGAGTGAGGATGGCTGCATACTGAAACCTCACAGGTCGATTTATGTTGGAGATTGCCAGACACATAGACGCGTTGAGTAAGGATAGCTGTGTACTGAAAATCCACAGTAGCTAAAGTGAGGGGACAATTCGAGAATGCAGTACACAAAGACCCGACCCCCAACCAGTACCCGAAGCTCCCCTAAAAAATAGAGGCCATGCGCCCCCCCTCCCCCTCTACCTCCCCCAGAGGATGAGGAGGGTACAGTCCAAAGTAAGCACAAGCTTACCTAAGGTTAATGCCTATTGGTACGGCATAAAATAAAATACCCAAGTCCCCCATCGGGCGGTGGAGGATTTACAGCTAAGACACCCCAAAACTCTCCGGCGTGAGATCCAAAATGGATCGGACGGTGGAG